CATTCATCCATTGATGGACACTGGGGCTGTTTCCATACTACTGTGGATAATGCTGCTGTAAACTTAGGGGTGCATGTATCCTTTCAAATTAATGTTTTTGTATTCTTTGGGTAGACACCTAGTAGTGTAATTACCACATGATAGGGTAATTCGTTCATTATTGAGGAACCTCCAAACTGTTTTCCAGAGTGGATGCAGCAGTTTGTATTCCCACCAACAGTGCATGAGGGTTCCCCTTTCTCCACATCCTCCCAGCACCTTTTGTTTCTTGTGTTGATTTTAGCCATTGTGACAGGTGTGAGGTGTTATCTCATTGTAGTTTTGATTTTCATGTCCCTGCTGATGAGCACTGTTGAACATGTTTTCATGTGTCTGTTGGCCATCCACATGTCTTCTTTGGAAAAGTGTCTGTTCATGTCTTCTGCCCATTTTTTAGTTGAACTATTTGTTTTTTGGATGTTGAGTTCTTTTGGGTACTAACTCTTTACTGGATATGTCATTTGCAAATATCTGTCCCATTCCATAGGTTGTCTTTTATTTTGGTGATTGTTTCCTTTGCTGTGCAGAAGATTTTTATTTTGATGAAGTCCCAGTAGTTTATTTTTGCTTTTGTTTTCCTTGCTTCGAGAGGCATATTAGAAAAATGTTGCTATGGCTGATGTTAGAGAAATTACTGCCTGTGTTCTCTTCTAGGATTTTTTATGATTTCAGGTCTCACATTTAGGTCTTTCATCCATTTTGAGTTTATTTTTGTGTCTGGTGTAAGAAAGTGGTCCAGTTTCATTCTTTTGCATGTTGCTGTCCATTTTTCCCAACAGCGTTTGTTGAAGAGAGTGTCTTTTTCCCATTGCATATTCTTGCCTGTTTTGTCAAAGATTAATTGACCATATAATCTTGTTTTTTGGGGGGGCTTTCTGACTTTTCTGTTGATGTATATGTCTGTTTTTGGGCCAGTACCACCCCATTTTGGTTACTACAGCTTTGTAGTATAACTTGAAATCTGGAATTGTGATACTACCTGCTTTGTTTTTCTTTTTCAAGACTGTTTGGCTATTTGGAGTCTTTTGTAGTTCCATAGAAATTGTAGGATTATTTGTTCTAGGTCTGTGAAAAATGCTGTTGGTATGTTGATTGGGATTGCATTAAATCTGTAGATTGTTTTGGGTAGTATGGACATTTTAACACCACTTGTTCTTCCAATCCATGAGCATGGAATATTTTTTCATTTGTGTCATCTTCAGTTTCTTTCATCAGTGTCTTATAGCTTACAGAGTACAAGTCTTTCACCTCCTTTGTTAAGTTTATTTCTAGGTATTTTATTATTTTTGGTACAATTATAAATGGGATTGTTTTCTTAATATCTCTTTCTGCTGCTTTATTATTGTTTTCTTAATATCTCTTTCTGCTGCTTTATTATTAGTGTGTAGAAATGCAATGGATTTCTGTACATTGATTTTGTATCCTGCAACCTTACTGAATTCACTTATCAGTTCTAGTAGTTTTGTTTTTTTTTTTTAAAGATTTTATTTATTTATTTATTTGACAGAGAGAGACACAGTGAGAGAGTGAACACAAGCAGGGGGAGTAGGAGAGGGAGAAGCAGTCTTCCCTCTGAGCAGGGAGCCCAGTGCGGGGCTCGATCCCAGGACCCTGGGATCATGACCTGAGCCGAAGGCAGATGCTTAACGACTGAGCCACCCAAGCGCCCCAGTCCTGGGTAGGACTTTGAGTACTGTGTTGAATAAAAGTGGTGAGGATGGACATCCTTGTCTTGTTCCTGATCTTAGGGGGAAAGCTTTCAGTTTTTCACCATTGAGTATGATATTAGCTCTGGGTTTTTCATATATGGCTTTATTATGTTGAGGTATGTTCCCTCTAAACCTACTTTGTGGATAGTTTTTTATCATGAATGTATGTTATACTCTGTGAAATGCTTTTTCTGCATCTATGGAAATATCATATGGTTTTTATTCTTTCTGTTGTTGATGTGATCTGTCATGTTGATTGATGATTGCTTTGTGAATATTGAACCACCCTTGCAACCCAGGAATAAATCCCACTCGATCATAGTGAATGATTTTTTTAATGTATTGTTGGATTTGATTTGCTGATATTTTGTTGAGGATTTTTACATCTGTGTTCATCCGAGATACCTGTAGTTCTTGTGTTTTTGTAGTGTCTTTATTTGGTTTGGGGATCAGGGTAATGCAGGCCTCATAGAATGAATTTGGAAGTTTTCCTTCTATTTTTTGGAATAGTTTGAGAAGAATAGATATTAACTCTTCTTTAAATGTTTGGTAGAACTTACCTATGAAGCTGTCTGGTCCTGGACTTCTGTTTGTTGCGAGTTTTTTGATTACTCATTCCAATGTCATCACTGGTAATCAATCTGTTCAAATTCTCTATTTCTTCCTGATTCAGTTTTGGGAGTTTATAGGTTTCTAGGATTTTATCCTTTTCTTCTAGGTTGTCCAGTTTGTTGGCATATAATGTTTCATAATATTCTCTTATAATCCTTTGTATTTCTGTGGTATTAGTTTTTAATTCTCCTTTCTTTTCTAATTTTATTTGAGTCTTCTCTCTCTCTCTGTCTTTCTTGATGAGTCTAGCTAAGAGTTTATAAATTTTGTTGATCTTTTCAAAGAACCAGCTCCTGGTTTCATCGATCTGTTCTATTGTTTGTTTGTTTTAGTTTCTGTTTCATTTATTTCAGCTATAATCTTTATTATTTCCTTACTTCTACTGGTTTTGGGTTTTGTTTGTTCTTTTTCTAGTTCCTTTAGATGTATGATTTGTTGTTTGAGATTTTTCTTGTTTCTTGAAGTGGGCCTGTATTGTTTTGAACTTCCCTCTTAAAACATCCCAGAGATTTTGGACTGTTGTGTTTTCATTTTCATTTTTCTCCATGTATTTTCTTGATTTTCTCTTTGGTTTCTTGGATGACATATTCATTGTTTGGTAGTATGTTATTTAACCTCCATATATTTGTGTTTTTTCCAGATTTTTTTCTTGTGGTTGATTTTTAGTTTCATAGCATTGTGGTCAGAAAAGATGCATGGAATGACTTCAGTCTTTTTGAATTTGTTGAGATTTGTTTTATGGCCTAATATGTGATCTGTTCTGGAGAATGTTCCATGTATATACAAAAAGAAGGTATATTCTGCTGTTTTATGATAGAATGTTATGTTTTATGATAGAATGTTATGAATATATCTGTTAAATCTAGATATCTTGGTTCTTTTTTTTTTTTTAAAGATTTTATTTATTTGACAGAGAGACACAGCGAGAGAGGGAACACAAGCAGGGGGAGTGGGAGAGGGAGAAGCAGGCTTCCCGTGGAGCAGGGAGCCCGATGCGGGGCTCGATCCCAGGACCCTGAGATCATGACCGGAGCCAAAGGCAGACGCTTAACGACTGAGCCACCCAGGTGCCCCCAGATATCTTGGTTCTTACTAATAGTAATATAACTGTCATATCCTACAGTGCACATAAAATGGTTTTAAAATTATAATTTATTTTCACTAACAAGGATACCAAATGAAGTTAAATATGTCTTTGTACCTCATTTTATTAAAGATCAGTTAGAAAAATTATTCTCTTGTAGTTTTGTTTCCAATTTGATAAACATATATATTTGGGGACACTTACTTGCAACTTTAGGGATTGCCCTCCCTCTTTTTGATTATGTAAGATGTTTATACATGATTCGAAAGTAGAAACTGACTTGCTTCCATCCCTTCTGCCCTGTCCTTTCCCTCCTGCAGAAGTCACCATTTTTACTGTTCCTAGTTCATCTTTTCAGTGATTCTTTTGGAGATGGAAACAAACTCATACCTAAGTGCTAAGCCTTGTCAGGAAGCCCTTCTTTCTGCCTCGAGCCCTGTGCTTCCTAGAATTCAACATGCTTTGTCTTCTAATGTATTTCTCTCACATTTACATATTTTGTTGTTAATTTCTGGAATAAGAGCTGAATGCTTCCCTCTTACTGTCTAGTAGCCTTTCTCCCTTCTCGGTCCTTTCCCTCTAGTCGTCTGGATCTCTCCTCTATTCTCCCCTCCTCCCCTCTTTCCTCCTTTCCCCTCCCCTCCCATCCGCCGTCTCTATCTGTCATTCCTCTCACTACCGTAATCTTCTGTGTTGAGCAATTTGGGCACTATTTTTAGCACTTTTCTCTCAGAGCAAAGATCTGTGTGTCTGGAAAGGACTGTTTGCCAGTTATTTTTCAAATTCCCATGTTCTTAGGTAGCCACAGTGCTGTCAGGTCACTTAGTGACTTTGGGATTGTTCTCCCATTGGAGGCACACATTATTGGTGACTTTGGGGATCTGCAGTGTGTGGCCCGTCAGAATCTTCCCTCATTGCTCACTCTTCTCTCCTGGGATCTGTCCTCTGCTCTGGGGTCACCTCTGCATATATCTTGATGTTTGTAAAGAGACCCTGTCACCTAGACTGTGTTGATTTGGTGTCGATGTCTATGGGCTGTTTCTTGTACCATTGTGATTGTTCTCATTTGCATTCATTGGGAGTTCTTGGGAGATTAAAAAAACTGCACTGCTACCTGATGCCACCCTACTCCCAGTGTTCACCACAGCAAAAAGTAAGACTCCGTGAGAGAGAGTAAGTGAATTGCTGATGGACATCTAAATAGTGAGGGAAGAAATTCTAACTCATTCTGGCTCATTTGAAATCTATGGCTTGTATATACACCCAGCCTAAGAGTTGTTGCTCTCTAGCATCTGGCATTGTGTTATTTAAGTGACTGCTTGAGGTTGTTCAACTCTTAGGGTGGCTGCTTCAACTTCAGGGTTCCTGGGTACCTGTGCAGAGTGTGGGGAGGGGACTGTCATCATTGCGCTGGGTTCTGCCCCACAGCGACACTGAACACAGCGTGCAGAACATCCAGCCTGGTCTCCTGTGAGTGTGTTCACCAACAGAAGAGACTGCGGTTGGGGCCTAGCGGAATGCTGGTCATTAAAGCGAATTTGCTCTTGTGTCCACAGGTTCCACCTCTCCAGGAACAAGAGAATTCATGCAACAGAGCCAGAGAGCTGCAAGGTCAGGAATCCGTCCTGGGTAAAGGGACTCCTGACCACAGGCTTCTCCCTGGAGGACCCTGGAAAAGACACAAGAATCACAGAACAGAGCAGGTTCTAGAGTGGCTGTTTATTTCCCAGGAGCAGCCAAAAACCACCCAGTCTCGAGTGAGTTGTTTGCTTGTTTATTCCTGCTTCTTTTCTTCAGTACTTCTCTCTCTCTCTCTCTCTCTCTCTCTTTTTTTTTTTTTTTGGTGGGGAGAGGGATGGAGATCCTTAGGGTTAAGTTAATCACTTTTCAGCTCGTAGTCTGTAATCATCATTGGTTTGTGTAAGGTCCCTATCTATCTTTTTTACATATTTTCTGATTTCCCCATACTCAATTTCAGTCTCCTTCCCCACCCCCCCAAAATTACTTTGTTCTTTATGGATTTGTTTTGTTTATATGTGTTCACAAAATATGTATTGTTATTGCTGTGTATGTATTTTTAATTTATGTTAATGGTGTGGCACATGTATCTTGCTATGTTGTTTATTTTTCAGTAAGCACTTTGTTTCATTAAATACCCATGCTCTTATCTTTACCAGCTCATGCTAGGAGAGCAGTGTTTGAGTGTTCCATTTACTTCACATTCTTGGCCAACAATTTCTATCGTTAGTCTTTTGAATTTGATCCATTCTGGTGGTGGTATGGTGGTGTCTCTTCATGGGTTTAATTTGTATTCCCTGCTGGCTAAAGAGGATGAGTACCTTTTGTCATGTTTATTTGACATTTTGTTACCTTTGGTTTTTCTGTCTTTTTTCTTACTGGTTTAAATGAATTTTTTTAATGTTCTGGAAGCTTGTTAGAAATGCAGAATATCATGTCCCACTTCAATCCTGTTATAATTGACTCTTCATCTTAACAAGATTCAGTGATGCATGCACATGAAAGTTTAAAACTATCTTGATACCAAATCCATATTCAAATTTTACCTGGGGTGCTTCTTTTGCCTCCAATATTGTGTTATAAAAATTTTCAAACAGAGGGCAAAGTAGAAAGGATTTTAGCAAACCTCTGTGTACCCATCACCGAGAATTTACCATCAACATTTTACTATACTTGCTTTATCACATTATCTGTCTTTGTCTCTCTCTCTATGCATCCATTAACCCATCTTATTTTTGGTGCATTTCTTAATATATTTCAGATATCATCATGCCTCCTCTGAATATTTCAGTATGAATAGCATTAACTCTTGTTCAATATATATTTTTTTGCTTCCCTTTTCATTCTGTTAATGCTGTCTTTTGATGAACCGATATTTCTGATTTTAACTTATTCTGATTCATAAATTTTTTTATTGCTTGTGCTTTTTTGTGTCCAATTTAAGTACTTTGTTCTTATCTGAAGCTCATGAAGACATTTTTCTTTGTTATTATTTTACCTTTCACATTTAGATTTATAATGTATCTAGAATGAATTTTTATGTTTGGTGTGGGTGGGAGTCAAAGATTTATTTTTTTCACAGAGCTATCCAATTATCCTGGTCCCAGTGAAGTGATTGATTCCAACCTCTGGCTCTTCAGTGCCACCTTTGTCATGTGTCAGGTGTCCATAAGTATGGTTTGGTTTCCTAACTCTTCATTTTGTTCCATTGGTGTCATGAGCACACTATGAAGGTGCACACGGGTTGTGTCAGCTTTATTCAGTTAGAAAACAAGGCTAACATAATTGTGAAGCAGGTTCAGGATTTCAAACTCAATGACATTTCATTTAACAGAGCAAAGCATAGTACAGAGTCACACAAGAAACAAGATACAGGAAGGAGTAAGAAGTGAGCGAACCAAACGCAGAGTCTGTGCGTGAGTGCACAGTTGAGATGAGGCCCCGGTCTGGCCCAGGTCACTCTTGCCACATGCTCCTGACTGTGTTCAAGCTGTGGAGAATCTGTTCTGCTCAGAGATCAGGTGGGCAGAGCCTGCGGCAGCAGCACTTCCCTTTCTGATACGCTCAGACAGGAATGAGACAGTGTGCTGCAAAATCTTCTTGTTAAAGGCGTTCAATCAGGGGTGCCTGGGGGGCTCAGCGGGTTAAGTGTCCGACTCTTGGGTTTGGCTCAGGTCAGGGTCTCAGGGTCTTGGGATCAAGCCCTGCATTAGGCTCCATACTCAGTGGGGATTCTACTTAAAATTCTCTCTCCCTCCCTCTGCCTCCCCCCACCCCACCCCGTGTTCTCTCTCTCTCTCAATATATGAATCTTTAAAGGAGTTTAATCAGTCTTGGACCTCTGCTGGCCTCTTCTTGTTCTGCTGGTTTTCATTTCTGGTTGCTGGTTTCCATGATACCTGGTCTTAACAGCAACACCCTTGGCTGCTTGCATTACCATTTGATACGAGTGAGTCCATCTTGCTGTCTACACTTGGTCCACTTTTCTGTCCTTGGGCCAGTATCACACTATCTTTATTTATAGTAAGTCTTGATATCCAGATGCTTCCAGTTTTTGGTGATTACAAATGCTGCCAACATTCATCTATGGGTTTTGTGTAGACATGAGTTTTCCCATCAGTTGGGTAAATACCTAGGAGCATGATTGCTGGATTGTATGGTAACAGTGTATTTATCTTTGTAAAAAACTGTCTTCCAAATTGGCTGTGCAATTTTGCACTCTTACCAGCAGTGAATGAGAGTTCCTGTTGCTCCTCGTCCTGGCCATTGCTTGGTATTGTCAGGTTTGTAAAAATTTTGCCATACTAATACATGTGAAGTGGTATTTCATTGTGGTTTTAAATTGCATTTCCCTATAGCTAGTATTATTTGGTATCTTTTATGTTTTGCTCTCTGAATATCTGGTGAAGTATCTGTTCTGTGTCTGATCGTTTCCCCAATTTTTAATTGGGTTGTTTTCTTGCCATTGATTATTTTTTTTTAATATATAGTTACATTTTGTTTTTGTTTTTTTTTTTAAAGATTTTTTATTTATTTTTATTTGACACAGAGACAGAGATAGTGAGAGAGAGAGCATAAACAGGGGTAGCAACAGGCAGGCAGAGGGAGAGGGAGAAGCAGGCTTCCCGCTGAGCAGGGAGCCCGATGCGGGGCTCAATCCCAGGACCCTGGGATCATGACCTGAGCCGAAGGCAGCCGCTTAACCGACTGAGCCACCCAGGCGCCCCTTGCCATTGATTTTTAAGAGTTCTTTACATATTCGAGATTCAAGTCCTTCATCAGAAAAATGATGTGTAAATGTTTTCTCCCAGTCTGTGGCTTGTCTTTTCATTTTTGTAACACTGACTTTCACAGAGCAAGTATTTTAATTTTGATAAATTCCATTTTCTCAATTTTATTTTTTAGAATGGATTGAGTTTTAGATGTCATATCTAAAATCTCATTGCTTGGGTACCTGGCTGGCTCTGGGTCATGAATTCAAACCCCACACTGGGTGTGAAGCCTACTGAATAAAATGAACAAATAAAAATAAAATCTCATTGCCCAAACCAAAGTATACAAATTTTCTCTTTTATAGTTTTAGCTTTTACATTTAAGTCTATGATCCATTTTTAAATTTTGTAGAGGGTTGGGTTATGTGTTGAGGTTTTTTTTTTAAATTTTTTAAAGATTTTATTTATTTATTTGACAGAGAGAGAGCGAGCACAAGTAGGGGGAGTGGCACACAGAGGGAGGAGAAGCAGACTCTCCGCTGAGCAAGGACCCTGAGATCATGACCTGAGCCAAAGGCAGACACTTAACCAGCTGAGCCACCCAGACACCCTTGAGGTTTATTTTTTATGTCTATGGATGTGCAGGTGTTCCCTGCGCCATTTGTTGAAAAAATTTTCCTTTCTACATTGAATTGCCTTCATGTCTTTGTTTTAAAAAAAAAAAAATCAGGAGACAGTGTTTATATGGGTCTATTTCTAGGCTCTGTTTTCTGTTTCATTCATCTTGTGTCTGATCTTTCACCAGCATCACACTGTCTTGATTTTATAGGAAGTCTTAAAATGGGCTACTGGGAATACTTCGCCTTTGTTCTTCAGAATTGTTTTGGTTATTTTTTTTCCTCTGCCTTTCCATATTAATTATAGAAGAGCTTGTGGATAGCTACAAAAAAACTTTGCTAAGATTTTAGAGTAAGTTTTTATATATAATGTTAAGTAAGGATCCAACTTCATTCTTTTTGTGGATATCGAGTTTTCCTAGCAGCATTTGAGACAATTTTCCTTTCCCCGTCATGTGGTATTGACACCATTGTCAAAAATCATTTGACCATATATGCAAGGGTTTATTTCTGGACTCTCTGTTCTATTCCATTGATCTATATGTTAATCTTTCTGCCAATACTACTTTGCTGTAATTACTGTAGCTTTGTACTAAGTGTTGAAATAAGGAAATGTTAGTCCTTCAGCTTTGTTCTTTTTCTATATTGTTTTGGTTATTCAGGGTCCCTTGGGATTCCATATGAATTTTAGGATGGGCTTTTCTGTTTCTGCAAAAAAAGTATCCGCGGGATTTTGACAGGGATTATATTGAATATGTAAATCACTGTGAGTAGCATTGGCATCTTAATGATAAGCCTTCCAATCCATGAACATGTAATATGTTTCCATTTATTTACGTCTTTTTAAATTTCTTTCAGCGAAGTTTTTTAGTTTTCGTTCTATAACTCATTTACCTCCTTGGATAAGCATTTATTCTGTTTGATGCTATTATAAATGGAATTGTTTTCATAATTTGCTTTTTAGATTAATCATTGTTCATGTATAGAAATGCATCTGATCTTTGACATTGTATGCTGCTACTTTGCTGAATTCGTGTGTGTGTGTGTGTGTGTGTGTATGTATCTTTAAAGTTTTCTACATATAGGATCGTATCATCTGTGAACAGAGATAATTTTACTTCTTCCTTTCCAATTTGAAAGACTTCTTTCTTTTCCTTGCCAAATGGCTCTGGCTAGAACTTTCAGTACTGTGTTGAATAGAAGTGGTGAAAGCAGGCATTCTTGCCATGTTCCTTATCTTAGAGGAAAAGCTTTCAGTCTTTGACCATTGAGAATGATGTTTGACTTTTGTTTGTTGGGAGTTTTTTGATTATGAATTCAATGTCATCACTGGTAATCAGTCTGTTCAAATTTTCTATTTCTTCCTGATTCAATTTTGGGAGATTATATGTCTCTAGGAATTTATCCATT